GGTATATTAGTGTTTCAGCCTATGCTATCATTCGGCAAATATAAAAGACCAATCTTGGCTAGTTCATGTTCATGTGCTTATAGTGTTTGCACTATGACGACTGTTTAGAAAACCACATTTTTAAGTGAAGTTTGGTATGTTGAAGTTGTTGCCTTGAAGTCTTACACCCGTAGTTAGGTCGCATATCACTTGACCAACGGATTATGATCTATGACAATAGGGCTTGCGATAGGATATTTCGAAAATGCCAATTGGACACAATCATCCCACTTACATTTTTTTAATCTGAAACACCTTGCATTTCAATTACGAGGGATCGACCAAATCGGCGGTCACAACACGGATTACATCAGTCGGGAACTCGGACAGCCATACTTGCTGTCCATCTGAGCTAACCCGACACCCAGAACTAGCTAGCACATGTGCAGGGACATTGAAAAACAAGGCGGCGAGATGTAAACAGTACACGAGCAAATAGCCCGAGCCCCATTTCAAATACCATCCGATAGTACAAACGGTCTCTGTCGATGGAGGTTATTCCACCGGCACAAACGTCCACAGTACGACAGAAGGACAGGCCGCGGGGGAGACCTCCCTCCTTGAAGACTGCCGGCCTTTCCTGGACCGATTCGGATGAATGAGGACGCGTTGTTGTTGCTGTGGTCCAGAGGAAGCACCGTCCGAGATTTGCCATGAATTCAGGGTCAGCATTTCACAACGCCCAGCAACACCTGCCGCTGTTCTACTAGAGTACTATTACCTGAGTAACACAGCTTCTGAGATAACTTACTTTGCCCTTATCAACAAAATGTTAAAAAAAACAGGACAAAACCATGGATTTTCACACGGCGAAAATCGCCGGAGAGAGCAGACGGACAACGTAATGTCATGGACAGGCACACGAAGGTCGAACACCGTGGATTCATTTATGAAATATCATGGATACAAGAGGGCAGCACTAGCCCCACGAAACAGGAATTAAACGAGCTGCAACTTGATAGGCCGAAGATGGATGGACCAGTCAGGTCAGCAGTCGGCATCTCAAGAAACCCACCAGCTAGAAAATCAGGCAGAACCCATGACCAGTGATCGAAAAGGCATATGCTGATACGCTGTGCCGAAAACGGCCGTGGATTCTCTTGGAATCAAGAGGGTCGTTTTCAGGCTCGCAACGACCCGGTGGCTGGTGAGATACCACAAGATCTCTGTATTTATATATAATCAGACAAAGGATCCAGATTTCAGAATGAATGGACTCCACTCCAGTGGCACCAAACAGTGTGCTCTTTACAGCAGGTAAATAAACATCTCCACAGCACTTGCAACTTGGGATTTTTGGCGCTACGGGCGGTCTTCGCTAACGACAGAGGTAAAACCGGGTCCAAATGCACATTTAGTGTCAGGCACAGAGACACTCATACAAAACACAGACATGGCATGTATGACAAAAATCGCACAAGGAAACATGGATACCAGGAGGCACATAACATCAGAACATATAGAATAAGATCATGCCGGTTAATAAGTTATAGATGTGCAACACTAGTTGTAATAGAACAATGATTGGCCTGCACTCCACATCACCATCAATAAAACATAATAAGTGCTAATAAACATGAGTGATCACCGGCACCAACAACTAGGACAAAATGTAATGCAACCGCATGCTACGAATTGGTCTTACAGCAAGCAGGCACACAATCCTAATTTTGCCAAGGCAGGAAGCATCAGATATGTTCATCCTCATTCACCACAAAAAGAGATATTACTGTTCAAGGATATGACCCAAGGTGGATAATGGATAACAAATATTGATGCTCATAGGCATCTAACTATTCACCAAGATACTACAGCATAACAAAGTGTAATTTCAAAACTCATTGATCAGATAGCCAAATCGTTAAATACAGAGTTATCATTGTCACAAACCTTGCGTGATAATTGCTGCTAGACCATTGTAGGAAGCTGTTGGGCTAAAAATGAGTAACATATCAGTTTGACCTCAGCTACTCGAAAAAAACTTCCAGACATTACTAAGATTACAGTACCACTGATAATTGCTGGTAAGTAAAGCTAAAGAATTCAACAACCACTCACCAAAATGTTATGGGACTCTGGCACAATGGTACCTCCCCGTAATGATTTTTGTGCACATTCTTCAACTGGGAACTGAGCAAACATTGATCCCAGTCCAATGTCAAAACTCATTAGCGTACAGCGCATCATGGCTTGCTTTTTTGCTTCGTGCATAAAAAATTGCAACTAATGGTAAATGTAGGATCATTGGGCATCACTAAACATCATCATAGATAAATCTTAAATACTACTCCCTCCGTCCGGAAATACTTGTCATCAAAATGAATAAAAGGGGATGTATCTAGATGTATTTTAGTTCTAGATACATCCTTTTCTATCCATTTTGATGACAAGTATTTTCGGACGGAGGGAGTACTAACATAGATGGGTTGTCTTAGATGCCACGTAAAATTAAAGTGTATTTCAACGGCATATGTATGAATGGTCTTGTGGCAAGCAGGGAAACAAAGATGACTGGCAGACAAGTGATACTCCCTCTGTTCCAGAATATAAGGTGCATCAGTTTTCCTAAAATATCGACATCTACAATACAAAAGAAGTAAAATATGAAAATACTTTCCTGATGGATCTAATGATACAAAATTGGTACTGTGGATATTGATACTTTTTTCTAAAAACTTGGTCCAACATGCACATGATTGACTTTTGGAAATGCTAATACACCTTATATTTTGGAACGGAGAGAGTATATCCTAATTTTGACAAGCTAGGAAGGAAGAAAGCTGAACAGATATGTCCACTCTTAGCCACTACACAAGCTTAACTTGGTGGATTCTTTTGGAACCAAGAAACCCATTTTCAGGTTCGCAATAACTTGGTGGCTGGTGGTGGGATACTAAAAGATCTCTGCATTTATAATCAGAGAAATGATTCATAATCAATGATGGACTCCCCTAGCCCACTGGGACTAAATGTTTGCTGCTTAGAGTACATAAAACAGTTTTGGCCTCACTCAGGCTTTTTGGCACTACATGTCATTGCTAACAGCACAGATAAAGCATTATAACCAGTCACCAAACACTGTCATTATACTTATAGACTGGCATGCCATTTATGAAATCACACCGAAATTCTACACGAGAAAACATGGATACCAGGATGTAGATGACATCATAACATACAGAATAAGATCATGCTGATTAAAAAATAACGTGCAATAAAAATGGTAATTGAAGAATAATTGGGCTTCACTCCACATCATCATAAACAAATGAAAGTACTAATGAAGATGAGTGGTCACCAGCACTAACAACAAAGACAAAATGTAATGCAACCGCATAGATATGAGTGTTCTTATGGCAAGCATGTGCACAAATATAAATGACGGACTAGTGATACAATCCTAATTTTGACAAGGCAGGAAGCAAAGCTGAAAATCAGATATGTTCATTTTTAGTCACCACATAAAAGAGATAGTACCACTGCCAAGGTGGATAATGAATGAATAATAAATATAGATGCATAGGCATCAAACGATTTACCAAGATACTCCTACTATAGCATAACAAAGTGTATTTACCCGCAAAAATAATAATAACAAAGTGTATTCCAGAACTCATCGGCAGGCCTTTCACTAAATTCAGAGTTACCCTTGTCACAGACCTTACGTGGCAATTGCCGCTTGATGGTTGTAGGAAGCTGTTGGGCTACAAAATGTATAGCATATCTGTTTGACCTCAACCACCGAAAAAATCTTCTAGCCATTACTAAGATTATAGTACAGCCAAATTGGTGGTAACAAAAGCTAAAGGCTTCAACAACCAGTCACAAAAATGTAATGGGACTCCAGCAGAATGGTACCTTCCCATCATCAATTTTGTGCACATTCTTCAACTCAGAGCTGAGCAAACATTGATTCCAGTCCAAAGTCAAAACTCATTAGCGTACAGGGCATGGCTTGATTTTTTTTCTTCATACATCCAAAATTGCAACTAATGGTCACACAAGGATCATTGGGTATCACCCACATCATCATAAATAAATCATAAATACTGACAAAGGATTGGGGTATCACCGAAGAGCTAGCTATGGACAGGGGTGCATGGAAGCTTGCTATCCATGTGCCAGAGCCATGAGTTGGTTGCGAGATCTTATGGGTTTCACCTCTAGCCTACCCCAACTTGCTTGGGACTAAAGGCTTTGTTGTTGTTGTTGTTGACAAAGATGGGTTTTCTTAGGTACCAATAAAAATGTATTGCAGCCGCATATGTATGAATGGTCTTGTGGCAAGCAGGCAAAGCAAACAAAGATAATTGGTAGACAGTTGACACTACCCTAATTTTGACAAGCAATGCAGGAAGCCAGCTGAACAGATATGCTCACTCTCAGTCACCCAGAAAGAGATAGTACCAATTCATGATAACGCCAGTTCCAAGGTGGATAATGAAGAATAAATATAGATGTACAGATCAAACTATTCACCAAGATACCATAGAATAACAAAGTGTATTTCAGAACACATTGATCAGATAAGCCTGTCATTAAGTACAGAAACAGGATAACAGGGTTATCCTTTGTTACAATTTACTAAACCTTGTGTGGTGATACAATTACTGCTTGACCATTGTAGGAAGCTGTTGGGCTAAACAATGTATAACATATCAGTTTGACCTCAACTACCGAAAAATACTCCCAGATATTACTAAGATTACAGTACACTGATAAATGGTGGTAACTAAAGCTAAAGACTTCAACAACTCACCAAAATGTAATGGGACTCCAGCGCAATGTTACCTTCCAATCAGGAATTTTGTTCACATGATTCAACTCAGAGCTGGGCGAACACTGGTTTCAGTCCAAAGCCAAAACTCATTACCGTACAGAGCATGGCATGTATTTTGCTTCACACATCCAAAATTGCAAAAACAGAAACCAACTTGTCTATCTTCCTGTGCCATCAAGATCTAAACTTTTGGCCTCCGAAATTCAAACCATATCTCATAATGGTTAAACAACAAGCTGTCATGAGTGTGCTTCCCAACATATTCCAGCCCCAATTCCGTAAGTCGGCGTGTGCACTCATCTCCACCCAACCTTGTGCAAAACTTAATGTTATGCGACACAAAAATCCTGCCTGTCTTTGGCCTCAGCTTGCCTGCAAGCCTCTCAAGCCCAGTCCAAACAAGGTCACGTGGAATGTGGAGGAACGCGGCACTAGAATAAATCAGGTCATACATAACAGTATCCCCAAACTTGCTGAAATCCATATCCCCCCCTCTCACAATCATCGGTCGCTTGTACAACAGCCCCTGCGACGGCAGTTCGTACCGAAGCGCAGCCATGAGGGACAGCTCATCCTGCTCCAGGCAATGGAATCTCCCAGCATCGAGGAACCGGATGAAATGCAGACCGACACGGAGCGTCCCGCACCCAATTTCAAGAACCTGATCTCTGGACGCGAGGGCGGAGGTGTTGGCCAGGAACTCAAACACATCCCGGCCACCGGCCCATGGCTCGCCGTAGTTACTGTGGTGCTCCTCGACGAGGAGCTCCCCGGGGCAAGGCAGCGCGGTGTGGTTGGTCGCCTCTTCTTCGGGATAATGAGAGATCCCATGGTGCCTGCAGTGTGGCCAGGGACAACATTGAGATGCCAATTTCACTTTCTGAAGCCCTAGGACTAGTAATGTACTAGGGGATTACTAATAACTCGATCGCAGCAGAACCTGGTAAATCTAATCCTGCTTTACGGCAAGGGGAAGCATGGAAATGTAGGATGGCGTGGATTGGGTAATTGGGGGTAGAGTATTACCTGTTGAGGTCGAAGAGCTGGCGCTCGCGGGTGCGGGGGTTGATGCCCTTGCGGAGCTCGTGCCAGGCGTCGGCGGAGGCGAGGAGGGCGAGGGAGTTGGAGGCGAGCTGCGCCTTGAGCCAGGCGACGTCGTCGGGGAAGGTGGCGATGGGGGCCGGGGCGGCGGCGGTGGTGGTGGTGGTGACGCTGGTGGTGGTGTGGGTGGTGACGGGGTCGGAGCAGGCGCAGAGGTGGGCCCCGGAGGAGGCGGAGGGGGACGGGAGGAGGAGGAAGACGAGGAGCGCCGCGCAGGAGAGCAGGAGGAGCAGCGCCGGCACGGTGAGCAGCCGCGCCGTGGAGCCGCCGCCCGACGCCGACGGGAGCGCCATCGATCGCCGCGGGGTGGATCAGGATGGTGGGGAGGGACGGTGGCGCGTGCTGCTGCCGGTGGAGTGCGTGGGTCGGTCGGGTTTGGTCTCGTCTCGTCCGTGCCGGGTCCGACGCGACGGTTGTCGCCCCGCTACCTGGGCTGGTTCGACCGCTTCGCACGACGCACATGGACCCATGTGCAGGCTGCAGCTGACATTTATTCCTTCGCTACACCTATGGACAGCAAGCAGAACCACAAAAATAAAAAGCGAGCAAACCCACAAAGTCTCTCTATCTCAAAAACAAAAAAGCAAAACCACAACAATGCCACGCGGTTTAACTTAGTTTTTGGAGGTGCTGACGAAGACCTTTTGGATGAAAGGAACGATAGAAAAAATGTGAAAATAGATGGAATGTTTCTACGTATTTTAATCTCTACTATTAAAGGAGAATCAAACGTCGTGATGGTTTAACCCGTGCTCCCCACCCGCATCAAGCGCTTCTTCCGCACGGTAAAAACAAAAAACAAAACAACCGCGACCATATGACCTTCCCTCTCTACTCGCCATGACCATCACGCACGAGGCCACGATCTCCCCTTCCCTCTCCCAAACCACCCGCCACAAGGGCATTTGGAGCACTTGCGTCGTCCGCCCCTCCCTCCGTTCACCCTTCAATCCTCCTGTCTGCCGCGCCCCCACATGGTCTTCATCGCCACTGCTGACCCCTTCCCCTCCCTTGTCCCCGCCTCCCCGCCTCCATTGACAGCTCCCATGGTGAAGACGTCTACGCGCACCCGCCTGCGAGGCTTCTTCTTCCCGACTTCAGCTATGCGCGTACCGTCTCCTCCTTTGCTCCAAGCTTGGCGCCATGTGTCTGTTTCAGCACACGTACACCCTGTAGCCGGAGCTGGGAGAAGAGGACTTGGTCGACCGCGGCGGCCGCAGATATATGCCCGCACCGTCGCCACCGGGTTGAGATTGGATGGCGTTGGGCAGAAGACCGGCAGACATACAAGATTGATACGAGGTAAGATGTCGTTTAGTTTTTCATACAACAATTTTTTTGGTCCATACTATGACTATAACTGCTTCTTTTGGGATGCTTGGAAAATCCGAACATGTGTAGGATGACCATGCTGCAGAGGACGATGACAGGAGAAGCTGAAGAAAGAACGTTTGTGCTATTCTTCTTAGCAACGTGAGCTCTTGCCCTTTTGATTCGTAGAATGCTGAACTGACCACATGATACATCGCTGCTTTAATTCATAGATTGTTGACTTTCCAACACAGGTTTTCACCATGAGCCCATGATGGTTCATAGGTTGCTGAATTCTGTAACCCATATACCTGTATAAATTGTACAGCAAAAGTGAAATGTGGGCAATTCCAAATTTGTTTGAGGTTCCAAAGGCACTTAAGAGTTAAGACACTATAAGCCTACCAATATTGGGAGTGTCTATGGCCTATTCGCATTGGAGCCCGAGCCTGCAATGCCGAAAAATTGGCGTTGACAAGATATGTGGGCGTATTCTTGGATCAAGGCTAATTACTTGGCGTGCTGATGCTAGCCCAACTTTCCTATGCAATTTCACGTCAATTGCTGGCGAGACAAGGGAGGGTGAAGTGTTCACTTATTTTTTGACACGCCCCCGATTTGGCATGGCCAGCTCGGGCATAATCCAAATGGGATATATATGTTTGTGTGCTTTTAACCCACACACTGTTTGCAGCAAAAAAAATCCCGGAGAGAATCTGTTTATTTGTGTGCAAATTGAACTTATCAATCTAATGCTGTGAAATCGGCTGCTGCTTTCTGTAAAAGAACGTAACGGCCTCAAGCAAACTGTTGTTTCTCGCGCGCGCGCGCGCGTGTGTGCGCACGCTCCCGCGTGCTTGTGTGCGTGTGTACACTGACCACAGATATGATGATGGAGAACCCACTGATAATGCATAAGCGGCTGCAAATGGTGCATTGGGGTTTGTGGAATTCCAAGGGTATCACTGTCGCTACAATTTCTTTTAGGATCTGGTGTAAAGTATGGTAGCGGGGCACTTGAGCATGAACCATATTGTTGTAGAGTAGGAACCGGGTCTACCTTCAAAGAATAGAACCATTGCAGCCGCATCCTACTTTGCATTGTTAGCTAATTCCACCTCTTTTATCCTTCCTGAGTGGGTTATTGGATTGGGAGCTGCGAGTGCTTTTTTTGGTGTCATATACCAAATCTTATTTTGAGTTCATCAGTTCAGTCCAATCTTGCAGAACAGAAACAGGCAAAGTACATATACATATTGCATTTGATTGACTTTGTATGATGTTTCCAGGAACCACGCTGCACTTTATGTAGTTATTTGAACAGAAGCAACTGAAGAAACATGAGTTTATCTTTCAAAAGAGGTATTCGTAATTTTAGAGGGTTGTGGTATATGAACCATTGCTGCATAAGGGGAAGAGTCGGTAAGGATCTGCGGTTGTTTAATTGTAGAATTTTATTGATGTAGGTACTTATTTTTGTTTGCAAGATTCTATATTGTTTATCCTTATGCTCCCTAGAACTGTTTACTAATTATGATTTGTTTCAGTTTCATGCAGACATGTAGTGGATTGATATGGGTTCCTGACGAGCTACCTATATAGTTTATTGTTTCTGATTCAGAGAGTCTATTTCCTATGGACCTATGAAACCTAAATGTTAAATCACAAAGCTCAATCTTGGCAAAAAAAAGCGGCATGGCTACAAGAAAATGACATCTATCTTGTTCACTTTTGTTGTAATTTGTGTGCTAAGTTGGTTGGAGTTTTCCTATCTTGTAGTTTATGAAAGAACTTTGCATGTTGTAGCCAAGATTTTCATGATGTTTATCAAATTTGTTGTGTATATTTCTGCCTAATATGAGCACTCTATTCTCCATGTACACCCAACTCTGCCATTTTTAATGTAGTTCTTTCCTAGATTCTCAGCTTGTGGAACATGGGAAGAGGGAGTTTCTGGGATATGACATTGGGACGGTGACAACATCACGGTCATGGAGAGGAGGCTCGGGTATTGTGTAGAACTAGCAGATTGAGATGGAGGAGTGAGGTGTGGAAGGCACAACAAGGTTGGCGGTGTTGGCTCATAGAGGAGGGGCTGGCAAGTGTAGGAGCGCCATGTGTTGGTTGGGTTGATAGTAGGATTATTAGATAGGGGAGACGTGTTAGTCAGTGGAATAAATAGTGCCACCGACTATTGCTTTGTTTATTTTGGAGTATAGATTCAATCATTTTGCTCTGTATATAGTCAATATTGGAATCTCTAAAAGGTTCTATATTTCGCAAATAAAAGATTTTATATTTAGGAACGGAAGGAGTATTATTGTATTTGATAATCACCAATCAAAAGGGATGATTTTTTTATAAGAGTTTGATTGCTAATAATTTTGGGGGAGAATTGCACTATGTCAACCTTTTTAACTGTAGTTTGGCTTAGATAAACCTAATATAACATGGCAATACAAAGAAAGAAACTCAAGTGCTGTCAGGTGATTACCGAGGAAGCAAGTGTAACCCAATATTTGCACGCAACACAATCACAAGCCACATGCTACACTCATGTTGTTGAAATGCAATGATGTTTTGATCAAAGTTCTTGTATATAAGGTTGTTATTCCGTGGCAACGCACGGGCCTTCGGCTAGTATTTTCGTAGAATTGGAACTTCAAATTTATAAGAATACATGCATGAGACTTTAAGGCCACGAAGAATATTCTTTTGATAGCTCTGATACATCTCGTGTATATTTCGTTGTTCTCTCTATTCTCTAGTGAATGAATGCGACCAGTCATCCGTTTTCATCTCTGTCATGTCGGTGCAGCCTCCCAAGCTGGTATTGGGCCTGTGAGAGAGAAGTTTGGCTCTTTCATTTGCGACTCTTCTAGCAGGCACTCGCTACGAATTGAACCGCCGACTTCATTTGTGAAACTTAGTTCGTACAACCACCGTGCTACAGAGCAGGGTATATTAAGTTTCGACTCTTCCTTGGTTTTATTCCGGCCTTCTATGTTTTATTTTTCTTTTTCCTCTTTTCCATTTTTGTTTTCTGTTTCCTTTTTCTTTTCTTCTTTCGGGTTTCCTCCCTCATCAATTACATGTTTTTTTCTTAAATGCGTGAACTTTTTCCAACTCAATGATGTTTTTTTAGAATTTGATGAAATTTTGTTTTCAAAATCAATTAACTTTTTAGTGAACTTTTTCTAACATTAGATTTTTTCAAATTTGATGAACTTTGTTTTTTCAAATTTGACGCACTTTTTTTTTAAATTGATGATTTTTTTTCAAATTCAATGAACATATTTTCAATGGAATTTTCCTGAAATTTGAAGAATTTTTAAAAAAATCGAAGGACTTTTTTTAAAGTTTGTGAACTTTTTTCAAACACTAGAAATCCACATTTTACCTATAGTCATATACCCTAGGTGAAATAGGAAAAATCATATGGAAAGACTTTACCTTGGGCTTGCCCTAGGTAAAGAACCCTAGGTATAGTATAGTCGGTAAAGACCCCTTCCCCTAGGGTGTATCCAGCAAGCTCTAGGGAAATTTTCTTTACCTAGAGGCACAAGCCCTAGGGAAAGATTTCCATATATATGTTGCAATCCACATGGATAGGTTGTTTACCTGCAGCCAGGCCCTAGGGAAAGATTGTGGGGCCCTTTCACGCCACATCACCATACTTTCCCTAGAGTTACATACTGTAGGGAAACACATTCCCCATATGCAGACATAATTCAAATGTGTAATTTAAATTTGAATTCATAACCAATAATTCAAATAATTCAAAATGGAGCCATAATTATAAAATGAAAATAACATCAAATAATTAGTGTGTGTATATATATACATAGATACCAATCGTCACATGCATACAGTAGATGCCAAGACATCACCAGCCATCACATGTTTGACCAAAAAATAGGCTTGCTAGCTAGAGTTTGCTACATCTAACTGATTAAGCATCTCAATTAGCACGTACACACTG